TTGGTTTGGTTTGGTTTGGTTTGGTTTGGTTTGGTTTGGTTTGGTTTGGTTTTCTATGCACTGGCCACCAGAGAAGCATCTTGGGGTGGGGGGACATGTGAATATTCTGTGCATCTTTTTGTTTCCTGGAGAAACTCTGTTATCAGTAAGTTCCTATTTTTTTCCAAGGCAGAATTCCAGGTACAAAAATAAAATAAAAAATCCCCAGATAGTCACTGAGATCAGAAGATGGATCTTGCAGGCTAAAATTTTTAGCGTGTCCCTGCATTCATTGCTCCACGTGCAGACATATGTACGTGCTGTCAGGTTGAGGTAAAAGAAGTGTGGGTTTGACTGTGTTGAGGTGCTTGGGACATGGAGGAGACCTTTGAAGACAAGGCCAACTGTGTAGAAATAGTGGCATTCAAGGCAGTTAGGCCCCCGAACAGAATGGGAGGCATTGCTGTAGTCACTAAGAAAGAACTTTACCTTTTTGTTACTTTTCCCTTCCACGTCAAAATCTAGTTACCTAATGAAGATTGCTTGTGGTTTCCCTTGCCTTGAGGTCTTGGTGATTAAGGTCAGACTAAAGGCATTACTGCATAAAAGCAAGAGGTGACCCTATTAGCCCCTGGCAAGGTAGCAAAGGAATACCATTTGCTAGCTGCTTCCCTCTACGCATAATTGCTAGTGGGGTAAGTAGCCCTCAGTGGATAATTCATACATCTCTCCTTTTCATTTCTTTCTTGCTTTCTTTTTCTTCCTCTATTATACCCACACTAGCCCACAGACCAATTCAAGGAAGCAGGGGTCAGACAGGCAAAACTATCACCCCAGCCTCTCTTCTTTCCGGCCCACCCCTGGACAGTAGAGGAAGCCCCCACCCTATCTGGAGGGGGTCTCCAGTACCCCACCCATGACCTCATCGCAGGCAGCTCGGAGAGCTGGATGGCCAGAGCTTTCATGGCGCCTGAGTGGGCCCTAGGGATGGGTGTGGCCTAAAAATGCGCAGTATGGCATGACGTGACTTCCCACCATCACGGGCTCCCACAGAGGCTGGCGGCATTTCTGGAAGACAAATTTGCCAGACTCCACCCCAGAGTCCAAGAAGCACACCCCCACCCCAATGCACACCCCAAGAAGATGAAAACAAAGGCGACCAGGGTTGCTAGTAAAAATCCCCAAGCCAGCTGACTCATCTGAGGCTCAGTCACAGGGGCTTTGTGATGGAACATGACAGCGCCTTGGAAGCAACCGGTCAGGGTTGTCTCCCAAAGGGTTTTGATGAGAGACCCAAGGTGACCTAACTGTGTCCCCACTACAGAATCTGGGAGAAAAAAAAAATCAGCCTCTTCTAGGAACTGGGAAAAGGGGAATGTTAGTTACTGATCTGCCAGGCAGATACTAGTTACCTGTCTAAAAGGCTTTGGTGTGAATGAGGCTTAGCCAAGTTTGGGGGACAAAGAATTACCCTCAAGCCCAGACTGGATAAGCCAGGCTTGGTGATCAAAAGCAGAATGGCTAGAAAAGGAACTCCACCTTCTTCAACAAGACTGTTGAAGGGCCCACTGTGTGCCGGGCCCTTTAGCAATGTGCTTTAGTTCAGTGTCCAAGTGGGTTCCAGAGTAAAGGGAACAGGGACTGCCTCTGACATGAACTGATTGTCCTGCTCTTTGATCACCTCACCCTGATGGAGGAACAGCCTTACCAGGCCACAGAGGATGACAATGCAGCCACTCCTGATGAGATCTGATAGGCTAGGATCAGAAGGAAGAAAAAGAAATCCTCCCCTACCAGTGGACTTGGAGAGGGGCATGAGTAGAGAAGGGGGAGGGAAGGTGAGATTGAGGAGTTTATGGGGGGATACAAAGTGAATAAAGTATAATTAATAAAAATTAAAATAAAAAATATTTAAAAAAAAAAGCAGTCTTCACATTAGCAGCAGTACAGATAACAGGAGAATGTCAAGAAATGTTTTGTACCACAGTCTGCTTGGGTCAAAGAGATATTCCTATAGAACAACCTTTGAACTGGCCTTTGGAGGCTAAGCCCCTTACCATGAGAAAACCAAAGGATGGTGCATTCTAGCATAGAAGTATAAAGATCACCACAGCTCTCCAGTGGAGAAATATCTGGATGGTCAATCTATTTCTCAGTGTGAGTTCCAAGGCAACTGGTTTTATGGCTATTAGCCAGAGGATAGTCCAGTGTAATGCTTGGTCAGGCAACTTTGGGAATGTGGAAAGCTATGCACCACGGTGAATCAGGGCATTTGGTTCAAACTTCACAGATGTCAGACATCAAATCCCAGCCTTCATTCTGTTGTATGAACTTGGACAGGGTTTTCACTCATTACATGAGAATAGCAAATATATCCATCTTCTGAGGGCATTCTGAGGATGGCCTTAGAGAATCCGCATGAAGGCCTAGCTCAGAATGCCTGGCATGACAGCTTGATAATGTCAGCTATCATCAGCAATTCAGCTCTGTTTTTACTGCAGGACCTCTTCCCGTTTTAGCTGGTCTCTGACTCTCCATGAGTGGGATGATCATTAGAATCTAATGTTTTCCAAAGTCATTAGACCAAAAAACTTAAAAAAAAAAAAGACAGCATGAATGCATGTCGAAAACTAATGAGCTGAGAACAGTGTCCTTAAATTGCATGAGGTTTCCCAAGACTCAATAAAAATGTACCAATTCTCACAGGCCACTTCACAGACTGCCCTCTTCGGAAGCCCAGCTGAGATTCTCATGTCCAAGAAAATTGACTTATAAAATCCAATTTCAAGTCGTAGATGGAAAAGGGGCAGTAAAGTAAAAATGTTGTCAGTGAATAAACACTGGAAAAGTCAGTCTCTACCTACTGGCTGAGGACCCAACTGTGCAGTGTGTCCACGCTAAATTAGCCGAAACCCCTATGTTCCAGGGACTTCCCAGCTAAAGGGAGAGAATAAGATGTGTGCTACTGAGCTGAAATGCAAAATTCGATCACTGTAATATAGAATGTAAGAGAGATTTCAAGTAAACGAAACTTCGAAAAGAGAAGAGCCCGATAATCAGAATAGCCAGCCATGTTCCTTCACGTCTGGCCATAATCCTACATGACATGACGAGGCCATGCATAACTTATATCCCTCAGGTGGAAGAGGTTAACTCCATCCACACAAGAAAGCTGACACCCACGGGAACTCGGAAAACTTCATAATCTTTCAGAGCCTAAGCACTAAAGAGGGAGTTTCAAATTAAGCACATCTGATATTATTCTGTCCCTGGCCAGGAAAGATTCCTCAAATTAGGAAACATGTTGTATGATCCGTAAAGGAGCAGTGAGGACTGGTGGTTGGGGCATTCCAGGCAGAGAGGACACCACTAAGAGAGCATAGGAGAGAACTGAGGAGTGACAAGAGGGCGGCCCTGACAGAATAAGTGCCCACAGAGAGCAGAGCACCAGGAAGATGAGCTCCAGACACTAGATTGCAAGCACAGAAAAATCTAAATGCCAGAACATAAGGGGTTTTTTCCCCCCATGGGATAACCATTAAATGTTTGTAAACAAGAAAGCATCATGATGAGAACAGAGAGAAATCCTTGTTAGAGAGCTAGATGTGTGCAGCCGAGAGAGCAGGCACTACAGCTCTTGCAGACTATATGCAGAAAAGGGCTCACTAGGCCCAGTCTACAGAGTCCAGACCATGTCTGTGGCCTTTGAAACAGCAACCCTTAGGCCTCACGTTCGATGTGGTCCTCCTTCTCAATTCCAGTACAATTGATCCGGGTAAGGAACTAAGGAACGAGGAGTGTGGGAGGGGCTGGCTGGACAAGGAAAGCCCTCCCGGTCCACACTCACGAAGATAACATTCTAAGTACTTTTATGGAAGTCATTAACTACACAGTTCCATATTCGTTCACTGGGTTCCAGACTTTTACCTCATACCAAGCAGGCACATTTCCAAAACCACCTTTGGAGCTACAAAAGTTTTACGAGTTTACAGCTATAGCGATTACATAATAATGGTAATGGCATGCAATGATGGGGGGGGGTGTTGTTTTAATATATCCCTTCCGGCGGGACTGTCCCTCCTCCTGGCTGGCTGCCTTTTGCAAAAATAAACTCTCTTGTGTGAGGGTTCTGCCTGCAGTTTGTAAGGCATTCTTGGAGTTTTTTGAATGACATTACTCACAGGGGTTGCTTTATGAGCCTCTGCAACACCCCAGGTGATGGCATTCAGAGAGCAGGGATTAATTCTCCCTGACTCCCCAGTGCCTTACAAATGGAGCAGGCCAGAACCCTAATCTACAAGCAGAGGTCTGCAAGAAATGTCACATTCCTGTACTTTCTTTAAT